CTGCAAAAGCCTGCTGGTTTATATGTCTCCCTAATGGAGGCCTGATGTCTTCTTGGCTTCCAACCCAACACAATCCCATTACGTTCTGGTGAGTGGGCACATACTATATCTCCGTGTGGTGCTTGTTGTTGCTGCTGGCTCAGCAAGACGTTTGGGAGGAGGTAGGCTGATCTCACGGACACCGCTAATGAAGACCAGGAGAGGATTGTGCTGCTTGTTTTATTAAAGATGGACACCCTGTGGATGTCTGCATATGTTTAAATGATCCTTTAAGCCTCTCCTTGCTATCCTTAAATGAACTGTCTCCGCACTGTGCAACAATTTGGCTCTCTGAGACTCTTTGTGATAATAGTTTGCCCTGCAAAATGTGATCTGTTGTGTGCATAGAAATGATGTATCGCACGCTCAGAAATGAAAACATACAGTAACAATCCCGACTTCAAACCCAGAGCAGTGTGAAATAAAAGCATGAAATATTTAGAGGTATACACTTGAGGACAGCGTAGGCAGCCGCATCGGGGGGTGTGGGGGGGAGGGGGGTTGGCGTCACGGCGCAGTCGTATCCATCATTATACTTTTCATTTCAAAGGAGTTCCCTCGTGCACTCGTCCCCCCCGGCTTGCGCCTTCGTCAGCACGTGACGCTCTCCTGCTTCCACTCGGCCGGTGACGTCCGACGCCACCGGAGCATTCGGTTCACTCCGGGGGAGGACGGGGGCACTGCACCAAACTGTGCCGGTTAAATTATGAATGACACAATATGCAGTTAGATAAATAAATGGTGATGAAAAGAGGGTTAATTGGAGGAGCGCAACAGAGCTCTTCCTCTTTTTTTTTTTATATGTTTCTATATTTTTAACCTAAACACAAGCAGATTACAAGTTTCACGGCACTGGGGGTTATGTGCTGGACTATTTCTTGGACCAGGAGCAGTGACTTCCTGGAGTCTCAGCTGAGACTCCTTTGCACCCTGTTAAGAAATAGCACATGCATACAGAGACTCCTTCCACTTAGGTTTCCCTGCTGTTTCCAGTCCTTATGCTAAGCTAAGCTAACAGTCTCCTGGCTGCACCTTCACACTTAGGTCTCCTCTTCCTTTAAATGTATTATTTTATTCTTGACACTCCGAGGCCTTGTGAGTTTGGTGCGCTGTTCATCATAGGAATATGATGACCAACGAAATATCTCTGCGAATTAATTTTTTGTGTGTTTTAAAACTTGGACAATGGCACCAAAACAACTACACGTAATCTATTCCCGCCCTTATTACATTAAGCTTTTAGATGCTAAACTTGTCTAAGACGACACACACATATGTCACCACCCTCCCTCTCTCTCTCTCCCTCCCAGCCTGTGAGATGAGCTCAGTGGATTTGTTGAGTAATGGCCTGAGCTGATCAAAGCCATCCAGGGTTAGTCATGTGTGAGAGACAGAGGATATGGAGCCCAGCGAGAGTTCAGCGGATTGTTGTATGACAGGTGAGCCGCAGTTGGGCCTCTCTTATGAAGAACATATGAGCTGGTTGCAGCTTCTCACGCAGCGTTGGAGGGAGGGGGTGGGATCCAGGGATCCAGACAGGGAGGAAGAGGAGGGAGCTGAGAAGATGCAAGTTTGAGGACCCCCCCCATACCCAAAAATAAGAATCTCACATGTTGTCGTGGCTCTTTAAGTGGAGTAGGTGGATAGGGGCCCTTGGGGCACCCCAGCAAGATGAGGAATACTTTGATTCCATTATAAATCAACGAGAGCATGTCAAGGAATGAGTGTTGTAATCATAACCCTCCATCCCAAACACAACCAACTTTTGGTGTCCATATTGCCTCAGGATGTGACCACTTAAAGGGCCCAAAACAATGAATAACCTCATCCCTATTGCATCACAATACACAAGATGAATAATGCTTTTTGTGGGCATTGTCTGACCTTTTCACCCTGATGATCTGGTCCCTCATGGGCTTGATGTCCTGAAAACTTTGCTGGTTGACCAGACTGTAGACCAGGATGAAGCCCTGGCCGTTCCTGATGTACAGGTCCCGCATCGAGGCGAACTGCTCGGTGCCGGCCGTGTCGAGGATCTCCAGCACCGACGGAGAGGAGTCCACCTCGATCTCCTTCCTGTAGAAATCTTCGATGGTGGGGTCGTACTTCTCGATGAACGTCCCGGTGACGAACTGGACCGTCAGGGCGGACTTCCCCACCCCGCCGCTTCCGAGCACCACCACCTTATACTCCCGCATCGCGCTCCCGCGGACTCGAATCCGGCATGCAGAGGACAAAAGTCTACAGCAGCGGGCCAGAGGAGCGCACCCCCATGCACGGGCGAGTCCGGACTCCCGTTACGCGGCCATGGCACGGTAACGAGCCTATACGGTGGAACGAGACGCTCTTTTGCAGCTGCTGGCCGGGACGCTGGCGCATGCAGACCCCGGGATGAACAGCCTCTACTGGGATGTTCCCACGCTATCTTGCAGGGACACCGTTCCTCGGGCATCCATAATGCAATAAGGCGTCGGTGTGGTAAAAATAAGATTGGCTATTATTAGAGACGAGGCACATCTTTGTGTGGGCCGACAAAAACAGGCGGCTGACACCACATTTCTCTGCACAGTGGGGGTACAGTTAAAGGCAAAGAGCCTATTTATCCTGATGGAGGCGACAGTGCTGCTGGGAGTCCACGCCTCTGGAGTCGGTGCATCCACTGGATGTTACTGTTTCCTGGAAAATATGGGAGGTGATTAGTGCCACATGGAGACAGAGGAAGGTTAGGAATCTTAGCGAGCTTATCACAATGGGAATTAAGATTCAAGCGTTTGTAAGCAAACATGCCACCAGCCCTCGTTTAGGGAACGAAGGACGCGAGGGAGCATTTACAACCGGCCCAAATTCAGCATTTATTTTAATTTTAATTGCACTCAAGAATGACAAATATATAGTTTTCTGATCAGGCACCTGCATTGCTCAGCGCCTGTCATAATTGTTACAAATCTCTGTTGCAAAAATGTGTTTTTGTTAAAGGTTGGTGAGATTCAGGGACAAAAACAATCCCGGTCGACATTGTGGGAGGAAACTGAAAAGCCTGTCCCACGTACCGGACGTGGTGGCTCTATAAGGGGCTTAGTCGCTGGAATATAAACACGTTATTTCGGGGCTTTTTCTAGATGGACCGATGGTGACACTGTTGTCATGGAGTCCTGCTGGGAAACCGGGCTAAGCACCAATCAGATGACGGGACGAGCTGCTCCCGACAAGTCTCAGAGGAATTTTCTGAAGCGTGCATACCAGCAGTGTTTAAGTGTGTGTCCACTGCTCTTGGCTTTATCTGGCCCCATGCTGATTGTCATTAAATGTAATATTTTATATTATGAAGGTTAGACATGACTAGCCCCCCCCCCCCGACGCCTTCGTCACATGACTCACACCTTGCAGGTAGTAGGGTCTCCCTTAGCTAGTATACTAACTACACTATGGCCATGAATAGAGTGGTATTATTAACCCCTCATATCACCCTCACTTTACTTTACTCTAAAAATGTTCCACTGCAGCAACAGGAAATGACATGGGAACCAACAAATGAAAGATTGGCTGGTCCCAGTCCAAGGCCTTATCATTACGTCCATCTGTGGACACTTCACAGAGGGCAGAGACCTACTTTAATGGAAGCAGCATCATCTTGTCATCAGGCCTAGAACCTACTCGCTGGGTTTATTTACTTTTAGGGTGGTTCCCAAAGTGGACTTCAGGGACCAACAGGGGTCCTTCAAGAGGGCCCAGTTCAGTTCCACACAACACAAACAAGACCGTCACGTGACACCAAGAAGAGATCCAGAACAAACATTTCTTTGATTTTATTTATTTATTTCAATAGATTTTACACTATCTTGCTGGAACCAAAGAAACATTTGACTATAGAAACATAAAATAGCACAAAATATATGCAAAAGAAAAAAAGAATACGTTTAAAAATGATTACATTGAAACTATAAATCCGATGAGGGTGTTCTTGTCAATTTATCTTTTGAGTCTGTGCTTTGTTGGCGGGGCACACTGCAACAACAACGATGGCACAGGCAGTCACGATTCACAGCCTGCAGTCTCCAGTGTGGCGCCCTCTGCTGGCGAAAGCTGTGAATTACAAGCTCGAACAGTTCCATTGTAAGGCAATGGGACAACACGATCTCACTCCACATTTGGGAGAACAGAAGAAAAGATCAATG